CCCAGCAGGGCCCCCTGAGATGCGCGTTCTGCTCTGTCTGCAACGCCTACTCCTACGGGGAGAGCAGGTGGGACCCTGTCTCAAAAAAAAAAAAGCCAAAACTAGCGATATCATACATAGTGAGTGAGATTGCACCTCTGGGGCCATGTCATGTGGAGAACTCAGATTTTGGTGGAGGGGGGAAATGGCATTATTGAAACTAAAATCTGCTTACCATAATATGCCAAAATAAAAAAGTAATTAAAAGAAAAAAAAAAAAAAAGGTAAATGATCAAAAAAGCTCTTCCTGTCCCCTATTCTCGTTTTAAATTACCTTTTGTTTATTATGGATTATATCAGTGGCTGATTTAAAATATAAATAGTAATACCTAAATAGTTAGTTTAGGCCAATGAAATTTAAATGATCTAATTTGAAGTGAATATTTTTATCCTGGTGAAAGTAAGTACTACAGTGGTTGAGAACTGAAAGCAAAAGAGACAGACCAGATCACTGTGAAACAAAATCATTAAAACATATTCATAATAGTTTTGCGCTGTTTTTCCATAGATGGCTGATTTTCGTAAGTCATTGGGAATGCCCTGTGTGTTGTCAAGTTATAAAATATAATATAAAACTTTCAATTGATTATCTGTTTCAATGATATGCTCATTGCTATGTCCTTAAGTTAAGCAATAATAGAAATATTAAAGAAACCGCTCTTTCTGGGATTTTAATGTGTAGAATGTGGTCTGGGGTATGTGATGAATGTCTCTCCCAAAGCACGTTGAAATGAAGAAAATGATATACTTTTATAAGGTGAAAGAGCCAGAAGCGAAGGAAAGTTGAAGAAACCAGAAAGAGAACCTAGAGAAAGACTCTTGGAGAGATATGAGAGAGGAGTAAATCAGAAGTTCTGTGGAGCCTTTTCTATTTCTTAAGGCAAGGAGTAGCAATTTGTTAGAAATGCATATTCTAAGGATTGACACCAGAGAATTTGATTCAGTATATCAGGGATGGAACACAGAAATTTACACTTTAAACCAGCCCTTTAAATCTTTGTGATGCAGGTAGTCCTGAACTTCACCTTGAGAATAAACAGTGTCCTGAGGTGGTGATGGATGCAGAAAGGGCACAGAACTTGGCTGATTTTGTCACAGTAGTGGGAAAAACTAGCCCTTTACTAAAGGCTGATTTTTGTCATAGTCCTCAATTTACCATTTTGCTTTCCATCAGCAAGGTTTTGTATTTCTTGGTTTGGTTTGGTTTTGGTTTTAGTTTGTTTTGTTTTAGTGCCCATACATCACATAGTATGCAAAACTCTAGGCAAAGCTCTAGGCAAAGCTATTTCATTTCTTCAAGTTGCAAATCATCATCTGTAATAATATTATCTTCCCCAGAAGAATGTTGAGAATCAAATTAAATTGTGTATGATGGGGACATTCTCTTCTGGCCAAGATGTAATAACAGGGACTGGATTTACCATCCCCCCATGAAACAACTGCAAAAACAATGTACATGAAACAATAGCTTTTAGATATTGGACATCAGGTGATACCAGGATAGTGATCCTCGAGAAGGGGGAAAACAGGTGAGATGAGCTCTACTATTGCTCCATCTTACTGCGTGGAGGCTGCAGCACAGAAAGTAGAAATCAAAGTAGGGCCTAGAAGTCTCCCTAAATTTAGAAGATGGAGTCAGGAGTCCTGTTAGGAAAAGGTCCCTAGAGTTTGGAGGGCAGCAATAGGGGAGGGAGCTCTAAGTTCTTGTCTTCAGCTGACTACACATCAGTGTATGGGAGAAACTACCTTTGTTTGAGGAAGAGTCTCCCAACAGGATGAAAGGAAATAATCCCTAAACTTCACAAAGAGCTAGTAAACTTTGCATTCTCACCACCCAGAGTGTGGGGGGTGATGACGACATAATATTAATAATTAAAGGACATGGGATAAAATAATGACTAGAAGGGTATTGCCTTAGTAGTGGGGAAAACTAGCTGTTTACTAAAGGCTGCCCTGGTCCTGCTTAACAAAGTTTAAAAGTTATACCCATCTTTGAAAGTACTAAAATGTATACAAGTAAGTTAACTATATCCCAGAACAAAAGCTCAAGATCAAGAACATGTATTTGAATACAAAAATATCCAACTCCCAACAAAGAAACATTCACAATATCTTTCATCACATAACTAGGGGGAAAATGACTAGGCATGGAAAGTAGCAGGAAAATGTGACATATAATTAGGAGAATAATCAATAAAACAGATCCATAAATGATACAAATTATAGAATAACTAAAGACATAAAAAGAGTTACTATAACTACATTCCATATGTTGTTCAGTAAGGTAGACAAAAAATTGAGCAAGTTCAGAAGACACAGAAAGACATAAAAAAGGTCCAAACTTAACTTCTGCAGATTTAAACTTCAATGTCTGAGATGAAAAATACATTATATAAAATTAAAGAAGATTAGGCACCACAAAAGAAAATGTGACTGAATTAAAAGACATAACAATAGAAAAAAGAATCTGTGGGCTATGGAACACATTCAAAGGACCTCATATACATGCAATTAGAGTGCTTAAAGATATTAATACAACAGTCGACCAGCATTAACATTAAAACAGATCATAAGACTGACAAAATAGACTCTTTGTGATAATAAAATACTAGATTATTAACAGGACCTAAGGCCATACAAAGGAAAGGTTAAATTACCTGCAGGCTGTCAGTTTACTTAAGACATCACTTGAATCTGGGTGTATGTCTGACGGCTTATCTCTAATTAACAGACTTCCTTAACTTAAAACATTCCAAGTCTTTAGATAAAGCTTCATTTCATTAACCAATTACAAATCAAAGAATCTTTAAACCCACCTATAACCCTTAATGCCTTTGAGATGTCCCACCTTTTCAGGCCAAAGCAATGTATACCTTCCAATTGATTTATGGGTTTACATGTAATTCCTGAAATGTATAAAATAAAAATGTAACCCAAACACAGCGAGACCACTTGCTTAAGGCTTCTTGGGCATGGCTCTCCAGGCCATGTTCACACATATTTGGCTCACAATAAACCACTTTAAATTATTGTACAGAGTTTGGGTTCTTTTCCATTCACACGGTGTATACATTAATAAATTTGTATGCCTATGTCCAATTAATCCGCCTGTTGTGAGCTGACTTTTCATCTAACCTTCGGAGGGCAAAGGGGAAGTTTTCTTTTGGCACCTATGGCTTTTGGTGAACCGTGAAATGAGAAGAGCACAGCACAGTCCACAAGACCATTCTTACTCCTGACATATATTGCAAGTATAGGGGTCCCCAAGATTACCTCTAGTTTTGATAGTTTGTGTTATGGTACGGAGTGCAAGAAAGACCACCTAAAGACTCAACTGAGCCAAATTGTGAGTCTTTATTAGCTGGCCAGTGACTACTCCTGTCCTGCACAGAAGCAGGTACAGAGAGCAGTCCTGAGCCAAAAAAGTAGGGAGATTTTATACCGACCCAAGTTAGGGGCTACGTGACTTTAGTCACGAGGGTTGGAACAGCATTACATCATGTTTTCCACAGCTGTAGGGTCTGGGACCCTCCTGGGACCACCCAATAACAATCTTTAAGCAGGCAGGTTTACAGAAGCAGAAAGCATTAGCTCATAGTCCAAACCAAAATACATTCTTTTACAGATTCAGCAATCATGGTAAATTTTTAACTACACAATACATTACACAGATTGAAACAATTAAAACAATCAAAGGTTAACTAAGAATTATTGTCCATTGCTACAGCTTTACTATTTTAG